TGAGTTCCTTACAGACTCAAACACCTTAAAAAATGAGACATTGATGAGTATCCAGGCTGATCCTTTCTGAAAGAGTCAAAGGTTGCACGTGGGATTTTCTTTTCTTTTTTCCTTCCTTTTCAAGTAATCCTTAGTCTTGTAAAACAGTACTGTCCATTTTTGGAGGGAGATGAGGATTTGAAAATATAGAAGCATTCTGAATGAGGAAAGAGGGAAAGGACAAGAGAGGAGGGAAATTCAAAGGAAGAATTAAAGAAGCCTGGAAAACAAGCTAGAGAGCAAGTAATGAAGGGAATTCTTGCTGTTGCTCTGCAGGGAGACTCACCAGGAACTGGGACAGGTGAATGGAGAAGCTGCTGCTAAGTGGGAAGCAGGACCTATGTATTTTTTTTCTCCACAGGTTAGAATGGAGGTTGCACTGTGCAGGCCGGCCTCTCTCCCACTGGATGACAGGATGCCACCTGAGATGAGACAGGGTGCAGGCACTCTGTGGAGTCATTCCAAAATTCCTGTCCTTATTCTGGGATTCTTCACTTCTTCCTCTTTTCTCCACTTTATTTTCTTCCCTTCCCACTCACAAATAAAATGAAGAAACCCAGGGATAAATGATTTTCTTAGACTTCCTCCGTGCATCCACCCAGGCCCAGTATCCTTGCTCCTGACTTTGATTTGCAAACCAAAAGGACGACTTCTAGGGTTTTTAAAATGTACTAAGGTTTTCCCTGGGCAAGAAATATGTTAGTTTATTTATATTCACACACACACATTTGGGTTCTTACTACAGTAGGAGTGTACCAGATTCTGGAAGAAGGAAGACATAACTATTGTCCTTCGGGTGTTCATAATTGAGGCAGAGAAGCAGAAATATCCACTAACTTACAATGGACAATGAAGTGGGTAATAAAATCTACAATTATTGGTTTAAAAGAGTACCAAGATTTGTGTAATTCCCCCAAGACAACTATTTTTGAAGTAAAAGAGGAAGCTTAGAGGTAGGTAATGGGTGGGCTAAGGCTGTGGTATTTGAGGTGGAAAAAGTAGTGGTGGAACACAGAAATAGTGCCAGCTACCAATGATTTTTGGTTGCTTTGGTAGAATGAGTTAGAATCTAGATGATTAAAGAAAAAAGTTTTTCTGGATAGGATCCAATTTGCTTGGAGGGGGCTGACATGGAGTAGAGCCTATTTAGGGACAAGGCAAAGACACAGAAGAATGTCCTGCACATAGGCACCATCAGTAGTGTCGGACCAAACTGGAGTGTTATATGGGGTCCTAAAGCCTCTACCTCTGATCCCTAACTGCATCAGATATAAGACAAAAGAGTTGATTATTCAATGGTTTCCAGACCAGAAAAATGTTTAAAAAAAACCCTAAAATAAAGGTTTTCAACTTTTAATGTTAATGCTTAAGTATTAAAATAACTATCTTCTCTATTTCAGCATCTCTTCCTTAAATATTTTTAACATCAAAATTGTAGGGAGGTCATACATGTAGGAAAATGAAATATACTTTATTACAAAATTTCAGAATGACATGTTTTCCTTTTCTGATTTTACTGAGGATAGGTGAAAACATCATAGACCAGCACAGATCTGAGAAGTGTTATTTAGAAACCAAAGGAGACCTGTTTTATATAGAGTCTTATCTGGTAGCATAACTGCAGCCAAGATATCTTCCCTTTCCCTATCTCCACTTTATGAATACTGTTCTTATTCCCAAGAAATAGAAACTTCACCCAAGATAAAACCTACCAGCCTGGAGACATGGTGGTCTCTCCCTGTTCTCTCATTGAGAGATAGGAGACAACTTACTGGCCCTTGAGATGGGGACATACTGGTTTCCCTGTTCTCTCCTTGAGAAGATAAAGGGACATGCTGGTTTTCCTGTCACCCCTCTGATAGGAAAACTGCCTGTCTCTGTTCCCAAGAAATAAATTTGCCTTCCATAAGATAAGGGGATGCTTAGTATGTCAGTCAAAACTAAACCCTCCCGTAATGTGCAGCCATGATTCTAGCCTATAAAAGGTGAGATTCAAAGGGTGCTTGCTGCTCTCCCTTGCTTGCTGCTGCTGTCCCTCTCTCTAGGCTCCTGACAACAAACTCACTTCTTATCCCAGGTGTGTGTGAGATTAGTCCTGTGCCACTTTTCTTTTACTATCCAGCTCTGACATTGTAGGATTAAAAAGTGCTTTAGGAGCCAAGCATGGTGGCACACGCTTGTAATCCCAGTGGCTCAGGAGGCTGAGGCAGGAGGATTGTAAATTCAAAGCCAGCCTCAGCAAAAGCAAGGCGCTAAGCAATTCAGTAAGACCCTGTCTCTAAATAAAATACAAAATAGGACTGGGGATGTAGGTCAGAAAGCTCCTGAAGCTATTAGGATTTGAATTAAAATGCCTTTCTAGGATTTTTTACTTTTCTTTTTTTCCACTTGCTAGGCAAGTGCTCTACCACTGAGGTACACGCTAAGCCTCGCTCCCTCCCCATTTTAACATACAGAAATAAAACTAAACTCCAATAATCACAGACTGAGATATCCCACAGCTTCAAAAATCAGGTAAGATTTGGATCTAAATTACTAGATATAGGAAAGCATTTTTTATTACACAATACACAGACACTGGAGAAAACTACAGACAACACCATTCAGATGATTAAGGTGATTATCATTATTATTTATTTATCTGGTACTAGGGATTGAACCGGGGCACTTAGCTACTAAGCTACATCCCCAATCCATTTGATTTTTTATTTTGAGACAGGGTCTTGCCGAATTGCTTAGTGTCTGAGACTAGCTTTGAACTTGCAATCCTTCTGCCTCAGCTTCCTGAGCTGCTGGGATTACAGGTGTGTACCACCATGCCTGGAAATTATTATTAATTCTAGGTTGTGGGCCGATTCAAATATATCCACGCACCTTCAGTGGTAGGTAGCCTCTCACATCTCCCTCTACAATACAGTTCAATCCTCCTTTTAGAGTCTAGGATTATAATGTTGAAAGAAGAGTGTACTCAAAGAAAGTCTATATAGAGTTTACCTTAATGATCCTTTTTGACCATCCATTGAAACCAAAGTAGTAATTTGCCAGTTTTTGGCATTGTGAACTGTTTAGGGCAAAGGCTTGATGTTGAACTACCTTATATCTGGTGCCAAGACGAACCTAAAGTCATAAAAGAGATGCACAAATATCATAACCTGCCAGAGATTTTATCTTGGATACACCTGACATTCATTGATACTGAATTCATAGAGTGACTGTTAAAATTAAATGGGATAGAAAGAGGGGTTGGAACTGTGACTCAGTGATAGAGCACTTGCATAGCATGTGTGAGGCACTGGGTTTGATCCTCAGCACTACATATAAACAAACAAACAAACAAAAACAAACAAATAAATAAAGTGTCCATCTACAACTGAAAAAAGAGTTTAAAAAAAGGTCTGGGATTGTGGCTCAGCAATAGAGTGCTCGCCTAGCATGGGCGGGACCCGGGTTTGATTCTCAGCACCACATAAAAATAAAGGCATTGTGTTGTGTCCATCTATACCTCAAAAAATAAATATGAAAAAAAAGAGTTAAAAAAGATTAAATGGGGTAGAAGAAACATTTTAAGTATTGCATTCCTAATAAGCCCTAAACAAATGTTATTTTATTATTTCTAAGCCACAGTACTTTGCTTCATCATTTTCAGGACCCCTGATTAATTGGAAGGTTCCTCTGACCTCTGGTGGTGATAAGTGATAATGAAATCAACTAAGGGAGTCCTGCAGAAAAATTATAGAATTGTGAGAGAGCAAAGAAATTTTTTTTTTTTTTAAAGAGAGAGTGAGAGACAGAGAGTAAGGAGAGAATTTTTTTTTAATATTTATTTTTTAGTTATCGGCGGGCACAACATCTTTGTTTGTATGTGGTGCTGAGGATCGAACCCGGGCCGCACGCATGCCAGGCGAGCGCGCTACCGCTTGAGCCACATCCCCAGCCCGAGAGCAAAGAAATTTTATTTTGCACCAATAAAAATATGGAAAAATAAATTATTTGTCTACCCATCATGTAGCTCCTGCTTGAGAATATGACTTAAAAAGCAGTTTAGATGAACTGCACTCACCAAGTTACAAACCCATATTAGAGGTGAGACTACACATACCTCTATGAATGTTACAGGCCACTAAAATGATTAATAATGGTTCAGCTGCATTAACAACCTTCTCCGAGAAAGTAAATACCTCCTAAGTGTTAGCTATTTCCTTGTGAAGATGAAAGCTCAGGGGTTCCATAGTCAGTGTAGCCATGATTGAAAACAACCAGTGGGCTGGGTGCGGGGTTCATGCCTGTAATCCCAGCAGCTTGGGAGGCTGAGGCAGGAGGATCACGATTTCAAAACCAGCCTCAGCAACTTAGCAAGGCCTTAAGCAACTCAGCAAGACGCTGTCTCAAAAGAAAAGAATTTTAAAAAAAAAGGGCTAGGTGGCCTGGTGTTATAGCTCAGTGGTAGACCACTTTCCTAGCATGTGTGAGGCACTGGGTTTGTTTCTCAGCACCACATATAAGTAAATAAAATAAAGATTCACTGACAGCTAAAAATATTAAAAAAAAAAAAAAAAAAAACGGCTGGGAATATGTCTCAGTGGTTGAGCGCCCTGGTACCATAAAGAAAAGAAAAGAAACCAGTGTTATTGAAAGACTTCAGCATTTCATCATGTATCATTCTTAGAAAAATGAAACTCTAAAACTGCTTTTGATTATAGGGGATTTATGGACTTCCTGACCCATTGTTTGAAGTTTAGAGAGTAGAATTGAGACCTCTCAAGGGACTACTGTAGTTACAGACTCAAAAGAGGAGCTAGGCTCCCTTTCCAGAGTTAGAGAAAGTGGGCTGCTTGTCTTTTTAGATTTTCCCTCAAGTAGGATCACAGAGATTTGGCAACAGAGTAACTACAGCCTTAGGTTTGATTGTGTTGTAGCTTTGAGAACTATTATGCCTCCAAAAATGTGGTGTGTTACCTAAATCTCAACATCTCCCTATACTCAAGTAGAATATTTTGCTGAAGAACCTTTCTGTAAATCAATTATATGAAAGCCCTTAACTAGGGAGTAAGTTGCCAAAGTAATTTCTAGATTAGGCATTATTTACTATGTATAAGATATTTGGGGGAGGCACAAAAATATGTTTTATGTGGGGGGCGGGGGGATTAATTTGGAGATTTTCAATTATATGACTCTCTTCAAAAATGTGGGGTGTTTTATTTTGAAAAGGCAGAGGAAGTGGGTTGCATTCTGAAACAGTATTTTAAGTTATTTCCATGTAAAAGTTTTAGTTCAATTTAAATAAAACCAGTTAAGGAAACTTAAGTTTAAGAAGTCTCACTTCCTGTGAAATGTGAAAGGAAGTAAGTCCACACTGACTGTAGAAATCCCATTATAAGAGCAGATCCACCCCTTAAGGAGGTGACTTTGAAAACCATTACTATGTGCTCAGCCATATGCAAGGCACTGGGAATGAGAAGATGACACATCTTTATGCACTAGGGTTGTGTCAGGTAATAAGTAATAAAACAGATTACTATAAGGGCTCTGAAAAAAAAGTCATTTGGGTTCTAGTCTTAGTAGTGTTTCAAGAAAACTATTTAAGTTGCAGGCTTTAACATCCTGCCTTCTCTAGATATGTGCACAAGAGTCACCTTTAAAAAAGTGGTGTTGTCACGCCTACGTGAGCCAAGGTGGGAAGGAGATGTTTTCCCATGCCAGTGTAAAGGGCTGTCCACACGGATTCACACCCCTTTCTCAGACTGAATTGCCCACTGCCTAAAACCCCTCCTACAGAAATTTCGGAGTCATCACTGATTTCAATGGTAGCCCCAGCCTAACAGAGTGATGAATTAATTATTAAACATGAAATAGGATAGAGAGTTTAGAGCAAATGGCAACATTTTGGAATAAATAACCTTAATGTGTAGTCTGCCTGTTAACCTAACTGGCCCTCGTTTTACAGATCACTTGCTTCTCTTGGAAGCAGTATAGCCAAGGGGAGGAAGAATATCTCTGGGATTTCAGCCTGGAAGAGGAAGAATTCAGGCCGCCAGAACTGGACTAGCACTACTGAATATCCCCAGAGGCTCAGTCCTGTGACTTCCTTGGGAATCTCTGCCGCCCCCCACCCAATGGGCTGCTAGAGTCCTGGTGCCACCCACATCTAGGGCCCAGATCCTGCTTCGATGTAGGGGAGGGGGCCTGTGGGAGTCGATTGTGGCCCCTGCTTGGGGAAGGGAAGCTTGGGTTGGTTGATTGTGGGAAAAGGCTCCCCGCGAGCCTAATAAAGGTTGAGCCTAATAAAGGTTGCGTAATCAAAGATGTCATAATCAAGGTGTCATAAATAAAGGGTGGGGCGGGGCCACTGAGGTTTCCCAGGCGGCGCCTCAAGGGGCTGCCATAAGGGTTAGGCTCCCACAGGTGGTTAGGCTCCCACAGGCGCGCCCCGCGCCCCATTGGCCTGGGTCGCTGTGCCCCGAAGCCTCCGCACGTCATGTCCCTGCTGCGCCTCTGGGCACCAGGGCTTCTCCTCACGTGGCAACCATTGTGGCTGCTGGTCCAGGCAGCTCAGCCTCTGGAGTCGCCCCAGGACCCTCTCCAGCTGACCGCTGAGCACCCAGGGCCTATCAAGCCCTGGTCTCTGCTCTCCTCTGAACTCCCACCCTTATCGCCCCATGCGCTTACACCCCCGGCAGACCCGGGAGGCTTTGATGACCTGGGGTCCTCTGCTCGCTCCCAGATGTTGGACTCACCACGGAAGTTAACTGACAGTTTGCTTCCATTCTTGGGCAGGGTTTCACCTGGAGAGCCGCCCCCAGAGGTGGATCAGTTTGCTGTTCCACGTCAGGATCTGCATCAAGACAAACTAATTCGGCAAGAGAGGCTCCCAGAATTGGTTCCAATGCTCAACTCAAAAGTAAGATTCATACTGTCAATCTAGATCAGTCTACAGATCACCAGTCATTTGAAGTACTTGTTCCACCTCTAGATAGTCAGAGTGCAAAAGCAGCAAAGTTTATTGTTTCACCACTGAATCTGAAGAAGGATGTAGCTCAGCATCCGAGATTTGCTAAAGTTGTTGGTGGAACTCCAAAGCAATTTGCAAAACTTCAGCTTCAGAACAACTTGCAGGATGATTATGTGTATCCAAGTACAGATGTAGCTTCTTCTGGCAACCTACCTCCGGAATCCCAGGAGAACTCAGAGGAGTCTCCAGAAACTCCTGACCAGGTTGAACCTTCTGTGGAGGCCCAAGAGACTCCTGAGGAGCTCCAGTCCTCTTCGTCCCAGCAAGAAGTTCCTGAGGACCAGGAGGCTCGAGGTGAAGCATCAATGCATCATAAGCTTTCATCTCTAAGAAGTGACACTCAGCCGGTTGTCACAAGTAAACCTGCAGATCTGGTTACCGTAACTCCGCAGGCAGATAAAGAGATTCACCTTCCTTCAGGCCAGGAGCAGGCCGCAACCCAGCCTTCAGAGGGTCTTGAAGTAGTAGAACCTTCATCAACCCAACAAGAGGCTCCAGCTCAGACTTCAGAGCTCTCTGAACCCTCTTTAGCTG